GTTTTGCTAAAAGCTTCTAATAACAAGCAGTCAACAGACCTCCATGGGGGAAGGTGCAACAAATCCCCCTTTTATATATAATTTAAAAATGAGAATCTGGCTTAGGTTGCCTGGGACGTTAACATCTATCTTAACCATCAATGAGCAGTCTGTTCAGGCCTCACAAACCCTCTGTCTTAGGTTGATAGATGTTCCTCTGGAATGTACCTGTTATTGATAACTCATTTGTCTTGCTGGCTCAACCAGGCCTGCACTGAGGGGTCATCTGTTGACGAGGAAAGCATGATCTGCTTTGTAAGAAAATGGCGCTGGGCTTGTGGCCTTTCCATATGGCAAACTAGGGCTAAAGACTGTGTTGCCCAGGGTCATAATCCCGAGGGCTAGCAACCCACTCCATTTCTCAAGTAATATACCTGTCTGTTGCAGTCACTCCTGTGTCATGTGAGGATGAGTTGGTTCTCTCCTGAGTGTTCCACTGGAATAGGCATGACACCTGGGACACGGACCACCAAAGCTGATCAACAGCTTCTCAAGCCGCATTCCTGGGGGAGATAATTAAACATTTCTCCCGAGGGAGTGTTATTGAATATAGCAAATGTCCAAGCAGGCAAATCCATCCTGAGGGCTGCCTTTCCTAGGCTATGGTTGAGGCTGATTATAGCTGGATAAACCTGACACTGAAGATCCGCCAGCATCAGGACAGGTGGGTTCCTCATTAAAGCCTAATGAGTCTATTGGTGGCTGATGAGTATCAGCAGGAACAGAGTGCACACAATGCTCTGGAACCCAAACTCGGGACTCAGCATCCCATGGGAATACACAACCCTCTGGTCCTCTCCAAAGACCCGAGGTTAAGTCTTTCCATTTAACTAGAGGTTTTTGCTGTATAGCAGACCACCAATGACATCTGCTGCGGAGTTACCAGAAGCACCCACAATTAAAAAGTTTAAGATATAGAGGATAAATGATAGAGTAGAATGAGGGGAGCCAAGGTGGCCCCCAAGACTCATCTGACTACAAGTGTGCTTATAGGTCTGAAAGGTTTGATTTTTTATCTATTTTTTTCAACTATTGTCAAGTTAAACTATAAAAAAGCTCAGTTTCACTGGGTTTAAGGCAAACATGCCTTTCTAAGTATTCTCCTCGGAACATAAGAACAACACTTTCCAAGTTTGTGTAACTCAGATAATTAATTGTGATAATGTTGATGGTTCAGTTAAAACAACCGTATCTCCAGAAATTTCAACATGAAGTAAATACAGATACACCACTTTTCTTACAAACACTTACCGGTAAAAGGAGTTCGTGTTCTCTTTTTTTTAAATGTGTATGAGTATTTCACAAGTGCTCTTAACTAATAAACTATGTCTCCATCCTTTGTAGACTTACAGGTAAAATGAACTTGGTTGAAAAATTTTCAGCAAGAAAAGTAAGTTGATGGCTAGCATTTTAAAGCACCATTCTTTGTGAGCAATGCTTATTCTTCACCCAGATCAACCTGACTGGATCACTGTCACCGAGAAGACACACCTCGAGGTGTGTCTGTGAAGGTGTTTCCAGAGAGGATTACCAGGAGGGAAGGCCTGCTCTGAAAGTAAGTGGCGCAGTTCTATGGCCTGGGATCCTGGGCTCAGTAAAGGAGGCAAAGGGGAAAGCCATCTGAATGTGAACAGTTCTTTAATCTGCCTCCTGGATTACCAAATGTGAGCAAGATCACAATGTCCCCGCATGAGGTAGAAGTAAGACTCTCTGGTAGCTTGGCTGATTCGCTTCTCTGATCTTCAGCTTGAACCCTAATATCTGTCTCTGGGTTTTTATTATTCATGTTATATATTGGCACCTGGACAATAAGATAAAATTCACACATAAAATTAATACTTCTGCCAGAATGGCTTGGCACTATTATCAAGAATGGAAAACTAAAGCTGAAAGATATTTGTATAGACAGTTTAACTCTGACACTTAGCCAAAACAATAGCAAAGATAGGAATGGAGTTCTGCACCCTGTAAAGTTCCTTATTACAGAAAGACTAATAATACATAGAACTGTTAGCGAACAGACTTCATGCCAAGCTGGAAAATCACTATGAGAAAACACAGGCTTCTAGAAATAAGGATTTCTAGATTCACCAATCTGCACATCGCTTGCTGATAAGAACCGCTCCTGCTGCCGTGATACGAAGTTCAGGGTTAGTTGCTTCCTAATTCTCCTGAAAATTAAGGCCACCAAGACTGGATAATTCTAATTTATAAACTAGTGAAGCACTGTGATGCCTGCCTATAATCCCAGCACTTGAGAAGTTGAAGCCGAGTGACTGCCAGGGCTACCTATAGAGACCCTGTCCCCAGGACAAAACAGCAAAACATAATATGTAACTAAAATCACTAGAAATAATAAATGTTAAAACAATATGCAAGTTTATGAAAAAGGCAAGGGTGGCCTTTCTTTGTTTTTACTTATCTTATTTATTTTTTTAAATCACATTTATTTATTTATGTGTGTGTATGTTTTCATGGCAACTATTTTTGTTTTGTTTTGTTTTTCGAGGCAGAGTTTCTCTGTGGCTTTGGAGGCTGTCCTGGAACTAGCTCTTGTAGACCAGGCTGGTCTCGAACTCACAGAGATTCGTCTGCCTCTGCCTCCTGAGTGCTGGGATTAAAGGTGTGTGCTACCACTGCCCAGCTGGCAACTATTTTTTATGGCAACTCTCATAAGGGAAAAACATTTAATTGAGGTGGCTTACATTTTCAGAGGTTTATTCCATTATCATTATGGTGCAACATGATGGTGGGCAGGCAGACATGGTGCTGGAGAAGTAGTCAAATGTCCTACATCTTGACTTACAGGCAACAGGAAGTGAACTGACTTACTGGATGTGGCTTGAGCATATATGAGACCTCAAAGCCGGCCTCCATAGTCACACACTTCCTCCAACAAGACCACAGCTACTCCAACAAAGCCACCCCTCCTACTAATGCCACTCCCTTTGGGGGTCATTTTCTTTCAAACCATCACTTTGTGTGTGTGTCTGTCTGTGTGCACACATGGGCACACATGAGTGTATGATGAATTACATTTGTGTGTGTCAGAGGACAAACTTGTGGAAATCAGTTTCCTCCTTGCATTGTGTGGGTCCCAGGGATCCAATTCAGGTCATCAGGTTTTGCAGCAAAGCTAATGGAGTCAACTGGATTATTTTAAATCAGTGTTATTGGTGGCAATCACATCAGTTCCCACAGGAAAGCACAACTATTTATGAAATAGGGGCAGAAAGCCATCACCCTGATAACATAATTACTATAAACTATGGCACAGATCATATGACATCAATGCCACAGTGTATGTTTACCAAGTACAAGCAGTACTTTTGAGACCCAGCAACTGATGGCAATCAGACTTACACAATCTGGAACCTGAAGACAGGGGTCTTTTTGAAAACAACATCAGAGAAAGACTGACTTCAGAGCCTGAAATTTTGGGTCCATATTTCTCTACTCCAAAGGATTCCTTGGGGCTGGAAAGATGGCTCACTTGATAAAGTGCTTGAATTTTCCTTTGAAGACATGAGGACCTGAGTCTGATCTACAGAACCCATGTAAAAAGTTAGACATGGTGGCAAAGCACTTGGAATCTCAGTACTGGGGAGGTGGAGGCAGGAGGGTTCCTTGGGGGATCAATGACCAAGCATGTGTAGCCAAATCGGTGAGCTTAAAGCCAGTCAGAGACCTTGTCTGCATTCTGAGGTTGTCTTCTGGCCTCCACACACACTTGCATACTGGGCATGAGCATGGGAACACACACACAGCGGTGGGGGTCTCAGACTGCACACAGGATGGGTGTCTCCAGACTCTTGGAAGTATCCCGTTATGCCATTGACTACAGATGATCAAGCACTTGCCTCCTGAAGCAGCAGGCACTTTAGACACAGATAGCTTCCTCCAAATCTCTATCATCAAGAAAGCTTTATTTTTCCCTTCATTTTTTGCTATCGTAAGCCCCACTCCTCCACATTGTGGGTGTGTGAGCATACTTGGAGGTCAGAGGACAACTTGTGGGAGCTGGTTTTCTCCTACCACGTGGGTCTCTGAAATTAAAATCAAGTCTTCAGGCTTGGTATCAAGGCCTTTATCGTGCTGACCCATCTCCTGGTTTCTAAGCACTACATTCCTTTAAGTCAAAAGTGTTGGTTAATCACAGCATGCAAGCTTTCTGCTAGCCTCGGGCTGCCGAGTGCTCAAACTCATGCACGTGAAGCAAATACTTGGAACTAGGCTATTTCTTTACGTCAGTCACCTTTTCTGTTCCCACATACTACCTGCCCACCTTGCTAGGAAGGGGTCAGGATGTTGTTTTGCTGCTCAAAGAGCTGTTTAGTTTGTCAAGCGTTTCCTTGGGGCAGTAGATTGATAGAATGTTTGCTTTAGCATAAACAATGGTCAGGGTTAATCTCCAGCGCTGCATTAAACAGGACTTGGTAATGCCTGTAAACCCAGAACTGGGGGGGGGGGGGGGTTAGTGGGTAGAAATTTTCAGCTACATAATGAGTTTGAGGCCAGCCTGAACTACATAAAAACCTGCCTCCAAACTGTTTTCTCTTTCACACCAAGCTTCTCCTATGCACTCTTAGGTCCTCTGCCTTAGCTGCAGCAAGCTGTGGCACACCCAAAAGGAACCGTTATCCTGTCGGTCCCTACGTTGCTCAGCTAAACCCGAGTCAGAGCAGTGGTGGCGCACGCCTTTAATACCAGCATCCGGGAGGCAGAGGGAGGTGAATCTCTGTGAGTTCGAGACCAGCCTCGTCTACAGAAGCTAGTTCTAGGACAGCTTCCAAAGCCACAGAGAAACTCTGTCTCGAACTCCCACCACCACCGTGGAATCGCCTGGTGACCACTTTCTGGCACCCGCGAGAGGGCGCGAATCGGCTTCTGCAAGCAGCAGAAATCCCTTCAGGGTCGTCCGTCCAAACTGGCCCGAGAGGGGCGGAGCTCGCTTCCCACGCCACTCGGCTCAGCCAATGGGAGCGCGCGCCGCGGTCCGTTCCGAGGGTGCTGAAAACCCTGCGCGCCGACGCCGGGATCTGGGCGCGCGCTCTCAGCAGCCTGACGCTCCCCTAACTCGCGAGGCCGACGTGCGCTGTCCCGCGGCCTCGAGCGCGCGCCTCCCCAGCTCCGGGTTCCCTAGCCGGGCCCGCTATGGCTCCCGACCCGGTGTCGACCCCGGTCCCGACCTCGGCCCAACTCCACCAGCCTCGCTACTTTACTTGGGAGGAGGTGGCGCAGCACTCCGGGCGGGAGAAGGAGAGGTGGCTTGTGATCGACCGGAAGGTGTACAACATCAGCGACTTCTGCCGCCGCCACCCGGGGGGCTCTCGGGTCATCAGCCACTATGCGGGTCAGGATGCCACGGTGAGCGCGGACAATGGGCGGGACACTGGCGGGAAGAGAAACCTTCGGCCCCGGGATGCAAGCGCGGGAGAGACCCAGGCTAGGGATGGAGGCCCGCGCCAAGCACACTCAAACAAAGGGCTGGCAGCACATCCGTGCCTCTGGAGTTTCGGGCGTGGGTTGTTTCCTGAGCTGGCCTAGGAGAGAGCGAGCTTGCTGGGCACCCGGACCGCGGTGCTGCTTAGGGCGGCCAGAGGAGGAGTCAGTTGAGGGAGAGGGGATCCGTCACGTCCTGTCTGCTGGGCTGTGAGGGTGAACGCAGCCTTGTCTGACCTGGAGAGCCGGCCCCTACTTGGGATCCGGAGCGGGAAGGGAGCCGAAGAGGACGCTCACGATAGGGGTGACACTGAGAACCCTGTGGTTTGGCACCCCCTGTACGCTGTGAATCCCGGAGTGTAGGGTATGGACCTGCGCGGGTTCAAGAAAGCCTCCGGGGATCAGTCGCTGTGGGTAACCGGAGAGATGTGACAGTGGGGGCGTCTACATCTGCATACACCTAGTTTGGAATCCCAGAACTGTCCTAGGATCCTTAGTGGGAGGTCTCCAACTTTTTCGGGAAGAAGGGAAGAAGGTCCCCGGGTGATCACTTAGCAGGACAGTGTCCCTTTTCCGTTGTTGTTCTTCATAGACTGGGAGTGACTTACTCCTTGGCACTGTAAAGTTAGAGCAGAGCGCTCTGTGGCAGGATTGCCAGCTGTTGGATTCCATCTGTCTTCTAAGTCCTTAACCCAATCTCCCCTACCCCTTATTCCTTCTCAGCCAGTCTACTAACATGCTTCCGGAGTGACCAGGGTTCAGTCGCCCTTGAAGTTGGATGCTGAGAGGTGGGGGCACTCTGATAAAACAAGCAAGCAAACAAAACCCCACAGACGTAGAGACCAGGCTAGATAGAGCCAGCCACTAATAGTGACCACTGCCGAGTCCAGAGTGCAGCGCAGTCCTACGATTCATGCACATATGGAGCAGACTCTGCTTCGCTGTAGAGTCTCTGAGCACACTGTCTAGCCTTCCCACTCAGTATGATTTGGGGGCCCATGCAAAGACAGCGATTGGTCTGGATGTGTGGTGCCACTGCCCACAGCTCCGCCTCCCCTTGCAGCTTCTCTCCCTAAGGCCCGAGGTTCTCCCACCCACCTTGTAGAACCCATATTAACTCTGGAACAGTGAGTGGTTAGTGTTGGGGGAAATAGGAAATAGTGCCCAAAGAGGAAGGAATGTGAACTCCCTATGCCCCAGCTCAGGCATAGGGAGTCTTCCTCATCACTGTTTATAGAGAAGCTAGCTAAGAAAGAAAAGGACTTGTTGAAAGTACTATAGGAACAAAAGCCTCATAACCCCACCTATTCCTGCAAGCTGTTTCTCTCCTGCACTAAATTCCTGCACCAAGTGTCTGTAGACATGAAGGCCAGCCTGGGCAGGTCTTTCTGTACGGCATCCAGGGGAGGCTTCCCATTCTCTGGTGTGGTGCCCTTCCAACGGGAACCCAAATGCTGGGTGATCCGGGGCTGGCAGACACCTAGAAGTGCAGTAGCCAGAGGGAGGTGGCCTTTGCTTGTTGGGCGTGGGTGCAGACTTGGTCACTGGAGGTGGCCTTTGGTGTGAGGACCTTAGGAGCCTGGAGGACTGGGAGGGACCTCACTGTGTTCTCCCCGTTTTTGCAGGACCCTTTCGTGGCGTTCCACATCAACAAGGGCCTCGTGAGAAAGTATATGAACTCTCTTCTGATCGGAGAGCTGGCTCCCGAGCAGCCCAGCTTCGAACCCACCAAGAAGGTGAGAGACCCGTTTGCTGTTTGGAGACTTGGTTGTGGAGGGAGAGGGGGCAGATGCCTGCAGAGGACCACAGGTGACAGTTCTTGGGAGTCTAGAATAGTCCTGGGGTGACATGTTTCTTCAAAGATGCCATCACCAACAGTAAACCCATTTACTGAGTATGGTGTGCCAATGTAAACTAACATAATAATCTTTACATATGTACACATGAGAAAATGGAGGCTCAGAGTTTAAGCTTCAGGGCCACAGACTACACAGTGGGGATGCAAATCAAGTCTGCTTAGCTGCTGGACGTGATGCCATTCATTGTAGCTTTTTCCGTCAGATTGTCCTCTCCCGTCAGGGTGTGTTTGCCAAAGACTGTGAACCTCCCACAGCTACCTCCATGGGAGGTTCTCTGTGAGGGCTGGTGTGCTGATGGGAAGGATTATAGCCCCACTCTCCCACAGAAAGAGCTAACTGACGAGTTCCGGGAATTGCGGGCTACGGTGGAGCGGCTGGGCCTCATGAAGGCCAACCCCCTCTTCTTCTTGTTGTACCTGCTCCACATCCTGCTCCTGGATGTGGCTGCCTGGCTCACTCTTTGGATCTTTGGAACATCCTTGGTGCCCTTCTTCCTGTGTGCAGTGCTGCTCAGTGTAGTTCAGGTGGGTGCCTTTGGCGTTCCCGGGCTTCTTAGGAAGAACATCAAGGCCAGAGTCCTGCCTGGACTCTGAGGACACACGGGGGAGTTGGCACAGGGAGAGAACGCCCATTCTCCTGTGGGTGACTTTCATATTCCTTTAGTCACGCACATGTCTTGGTTCGCTCACAGCCTCTCCAGCTTCCCTCCCCAGACCCCCTTCCTCCTGTGTAGTTTGTTCTCTGAAATCGTGGGTTCAGGTTCTACCACACTCCGTGTATGCCAAGAACCAATGCTTGGCTCCCTCTCCACTGCTGATGTCACCCAGCATGCCAGTCACGGTCCAGCACCAGGATGTGGGCTAGCAGTGTGTATTCTGGATGCCCCTCTATCCTAAGTCATGGCACTTCAGAGGAAAGAAGGGACTGTGGTCTGCCTCCACTTACATGTGACCCAGTGGCCAAGAGGGAACTGGGACCCAGGTTCCATGGCTTACCCATAGTTCCCTTGAGGTAGGGCACCAATCCAGTATGGAGAGGCTCAGGGGCTGCTGAGGTTTGTGAGGGGCACCCTAGGTATGGGCTGCTCTGGCACTAACCTTTCTCTTTTAGGCCCAGGCAGGTTGGCTACAGCATGACTTTGGGCACTTGTCAGTCTTTGGCACCTCAACGTGGAACCACCTGCTGCATCATTTCGTGATTGGCCACCTGAAGGTCAATGAATTGACGGGGCTCCCCCAAATCCCAGTCACTCATGGCTGCCGGAGGGCGGGAGCAGTGCTTGTAATGCTGTGGTTTCTTTCTCTTTAAATTTTTAAATTTATTATGCATGTGCGGGTACTCTGCTTTCGGGGGGTATATCTGCATGTCACAAGTGAGGGCATCCGATCCCGGGGACTAGAGTCACAGACAGTTGTGAGCTGCCATGTGGGTGCTAAGAACCGAACTGGGGTCCTGTACTCTGGGTTTCCACTCACATCTGCACTTCTCTGTAGGGGGCCCCTGCCAGCTGGTGGAACCACATGCACTTCCAGCACCACGCCAAGCCCAACTGCTTCCGCAAAGACCCAGATATCAACATGCATCCCCTGTTCTTCGCCTTGGGGAAGGTCCTCTCCGTGGAGGTGAGCTGGCTGTCAATGCGGAGGGGAACAGAGAGTAGCCTGTTCTGTAGGCCTAGGGAAAACGATTGCTCAGTGTTGTCAGCCAAGGTAGGACTAGGGACGGGGCTGTAGGGCTCTTGCCTTCTGGAAGTTGTGGAGGGCAAGAGGCTATAAACAGTTACTGTCCAGGACAGACTCAGTGAACAGTTACTACACAAAGGTACCCCATTCTGCAAAGGATTCAGTGAGTGACAGGGCATTCTATGCAGGCCCCTGCTCATCTTTGAAGATGACTAAGGCACCTCTTCAGGGTGCTGCTTGACACCCCAGCTCTAAGAAGCCACTCCGTTGCACTCTCTTCCATAGGCCCTGCTGTGTCACGGCCTGCCTTGTCTGTGACTTTACTGTCTCACATCTCTGATACCTCTGAATCCAGCTGTCTTCTGTGTCCTGAGATTCTGCATCTGTGGATTTAAGCAAATATTCAGAGAAATTACATCCATCCTGAACATACCTAGGCTGTTTTTAATTTATTTATTATCATGGTGAGTGGGCACCTGTGCCAAGACAACCCTGTCTCCTTCCACTTTATGTGGTCTTAGGAATGAAATTCAAGCCACCAGGCTTGCACAGAAAGTACTGTTAAGAACTGAGTCATTTCGCCAACCCTGCTGGGGTTTTCAGCTTTATTTATTTATCATTGTGTGAGAGCATGTGTCAGACTTAGTGGAGACAGTTTTCCCCTTCCTCCTCTACTTGGGCTCCAGGGGTTGAACGCAAGTCTCCAGGCTTCCTCAGAAGTGTTCTCTCAGGGAGCCTTCTCATCTCTCTGGCTCTAGACTGTTCTTGATTATTAGTTTCTTTTCTTCTTTTTTTTTTTTGTTTTTTTGTTTTTTTTGGTTTTACGAGACAGGGTTTCTCTGTATTGTTTTGGAGGCTGCCGGCCTAGCCTGGCCTCGAACTCACAGAGATCCGCCTGCCTCTGCCTCCTGAGTGCTGGGATTAAAGGCGTGCGCCACCACCGCACGGCTTGATTATTAGTTTCTAAAGAACACATTATAACAACTGTTTTTACATAGCACTTACACAAGTGCAGTCTAGCATGTATTATATCAAGGAAGGAGGCTGAGGGATAGCTCCGTGATGGCGTGTTTGAGTAAAGCCCTGGGTTCCATACACAGCACCAAAAAGAGAGATAGAGAAAGAAAGATCAGGTGGGAGGGAAGGAAAGAAGCCAGGCATAGTGGGACATACCTGTAATCCCAGCACACAGGAAGTGGAAACAGGAGAATTAATAGTTTGAGGGTAACCTGGGCTACATAAGGACCAGTCTCAAGAAAAGAAAAAAAAAAAAGAAAGAACAAAGCCTCATCTGCAGGGCTACTGTAAGGCATGCTGGGAGGGCATGTGTCAGTTATCACAAGTAGCATGCCACTTCATACAGGGGACTTGAGTGCCCCCTGGAACCAATCCCTGTGGATAGAGGGATAGCTGTACTGTTTCCCTCCCTCCTGGGCCTCATCTGTCCGTAGCCTGGTCAGTGTTGGCTCTGAGAAGTCTGCTGGGGCTGTGAGCGAACACTACAGTGTAACTGTTGGGGAAGAGTGCCCTAGGGTGGAGAGCTGCCTTGCCGGCAGAGCCTGAGCTATAGACAGTTCCAAATGCCCAGGGGAATTCCTTGAAAAGTTAATTAAAAACCCTTCTAGAGCTCTGCCAGCTCCCCTCCCCCCACTCAGTGTTTGCATTAAGCTGTTGAGTACAGTTCATTTTCAGGCATGAGTTCAAGATAGCCTGCCTGCCCTGTCCTCTCTGGCAGAGCCGTGCTGCGTGGAAGAGCCTTGGCAGCACGGGCTGTGCTGGCACGGGGCACTCATAGCTTGAGACTTGGGCTCCATCTGTCCCTAATGCTCCCATTTTTGTCACTTCCCGAGCATTGGCCTCGGGTGGCCTGTTATGTGTGTCCCCCTCTGCCTTGTCAGCAGTGCACAGTGGGGAACTGGCCCATGCCATTCTAAAACAGGACAGACTGCTCATTAGGGCTCTGGGCGCTTCTGTGGTCACCACAGATGGTTTAAGGAAAGGGGAGGCCTTTGCTGCTTCTTGGTTCTGTGGTTTTCAAGGAGCTGTGGTCTATGAGCATCAGGAAGAGAGAGAAGGGGATGGGAGGTGGCTCAGTGGGTGGAGTGCTCGGATCTTCAGCATCTGAGGAAGCCGGGCCCAGCAGCTGTGATGAGCCTCAGCACCATGTGGAGAGGGAGTGTGAAGACAGGGGCATCCTGTGCTCGCCAGCCAGTCTAGCAAAGACTGAGCTTGGGTTCATCAAGAGATTCCAGTTCAAGAAATAAAGGGAACAGTAGAGACACCCAAGGCTGCCCTCTGCTCTTCACATGCATGGGCAAGAAATAAAGGGAACAGTAGAGACACCCAAGGCTGCCCTCTGCTCTTCACATGCATGGGCAAGTATGCCTTCACACATGCATGCACCTCTCCTCACTCGCACACACACAGAAATGAGGGTGCGTGGAGGTGGGCGTGGTCTGGTCTCGGGATAGCTTAACGAGGTAGCTATGTCCTGGTTGAGTGGCTTTTGCCCAGTGTCTCCTAACACTCCTGGAGAACAAGGAGGTACAGGGCACACTTTGAGTCTAAGCACTTGATCACTGTCTGAGGGAGCAGCCGTGGACAGGGTTCCTGCAGCCGTTCCCCACTCGCCCCACCAACCAAAAGGTGCTTTTCTTCTATGGGACCTCCTTGGTCAACAATATTGTGTGGCTTGTTCACCTGTCTCCAGACTACATCCTAATTCCATCCAATTCTCCAGCTCCAGTGCCCCTCTAGCTTATAAACTGTCCACTTCCTGAGGTTGGGTACTTCGTACAGAAAAGATGTCTGTTCTGGGAGGTCAGAGTTCAGGATGGAGCAGCCCCATCACTTTGACCTCTGGCAAGAGCCTTGAGAGATGCCAGACTCCAGTGGGAGTGGCTGGAAGGCAATTAGGGTGAGAAAGGAAGCCAGCCTTCTGGTGTGCTTGGGTCTCAATAGCTCTGGCTCTGGCTGTGCCCTGTGCTTTGAACACTTTTCTTTGAATTTCTGCATCCTGGCACTTCTCATCTTTCAGGTATCAGGGGCTAAGGGAAACCAGGCCTGAGCTGCTACCTTTCTGTCTGTTCTGCTCTCCTCTCTGTAATCTATAATTTATCTTGAACTTGGTTTACAAATTTATTACTAGTCTCATCTGCTCAAATTACAAGATAGATGTAGATGAGACCCTCTGTACCCTCAGTTCCTGGGACCGTGACTGGGACCGTGACTGGGGCAGTAGCCTCTCACCTCCAGGACTTGTTGAATGACTCCATGGGTGCAGGAAAATTGCCTCGTCTAGCCAAAGCGCTTGAACAGAACTCAGTTTTGATGAATTATTTGTAGATATTGAGAGGATTAGCCAGGTTGTGCTCTGGATTGATGTCACCAAAACTAAGTGGGTCAAGAAATGCTGTGGAGTGAGACAGCCCATGTGAGTGGCTCTGGACTGACTGGGTGGCCTGGTGACTCCCAGCCATAGTTTGACTTAAAAACAAAACAAAACCCACACAGTGGTGCAAAGCTTTGCCAAAACCTTCTTCAGGTTGCTGGATTGTTCTTGGTAACCTTTCTACATATATTACTACACTTCCAAGGGGGTTTATGAAGTTCAGGTTGAAGTCAAGAGTCTAAAAGAGACAGTCAAGAGGTGGCTCAGTGGTTAAGAGCACTGCTACTCTTCCAGAGGACCTGTGTTTGATTCCCAGGACCTACTTGGGAGCTCACCCACATGTTAACGCCAGTTCCAGATGGTCTGCTGCCCTCTTCTGGTCTCCATGGGCATTGCATGCAAGTGATGCAAGTGGTGCAGACATACATTCAGGCAAAACACCCATACACTAAAATAAAAAAAGTGTCACAAAAGATTGTGATGGAAAGACTCAAGTACCTATACAGGGACAAAAATAGTTTTCCATAGAGACCCTGAGGTCCAAAGAGTACCAGAAGTAGGAGGGGGCTGGACACCCGGAAACCATGCGACAGATACTTTGGATTAGCCATCAGGAGTCCTGTAGAGACCGCATCCTGTACAAATCCTATACACTCCTGTGTGTTCCTTGTCACAGTACATTCATAGGTCACCTTCCAGGGCCGCTTGCTCCAGGCCCTGGGCCTGCCAGTGCCTTACAATGGCAGCAGCTAGCTGAAGGTTCTGGAAGTAGGCCTTGGTGTCTGAGCAGGGAAAGCTGGCGTCTCAGTGCGGGAGGGGGGTGGGGGGGTGGATATCTGGTCTAGCTGCTGACTTGCGCTTGTTTCTTCACAGCTTGGGAAGCAAAAGAAGAAGCACATGCCATACAACCATCAGCACAAGTACTTCTTCCTGAGTGAGTGCCAGCCCAGGGGTAGGGGCTCATGGGAGGAGCAGAGTCCCCCAGGGTGGACCTAGGAGGAAGTACTGCCTGCCGGACGCTCCCCGCCTGCGAGCACTTGGCCTTTGCCACTGAGGAAAGTTAGTGCGTGCTTAGTCATTTGTGCTGCGGGACAAACTCAGTCCTCCAGCCTCACCCTAGCTTCTAGGAAGAGAGTGAGTGGTCAGCAGGGGTCTTAAACCTGGTCACACAAAGGAGGGGTCAGTTAGGATGTTGTCTCAGACAGTGGGTCCTGAGAAGAAATGTTGCAACTGAGCAGAAGATAGTTGAATCCATACTCCCTGCTTTAAAAGCCTGCTGCATAATGCCCAAAATTGGGTTTAAAACTCCTTTAAGACTTCAACTTTTGGGAGCCAGGGGGTGCTTTTATGGGTTTTGTTTTGGCTTTGTTTGAGAGGGTTTTGTGTAGCTCAGGTGGCCTCAAGCTTGCTATATAGGTACAAGCCCCCACACCTGCATGGATTTCAAGTTTTTAAAGGAAGAGAGGGGAAGAATTGAAGGAATTTATTTGAACTGCTTATTGCCAACTGTCCCTTCTAGAGAAAACTGGACATACTTAAAAGGGTTGAGGAAAGATTTCCATAAAAAATTATTTTAGTCTGTGCAGTGGTGGCCACACCTTTAATCCCAGCACTAGAGAGGCAGAAGCAGGAAGATCTCTGTGTGTTCGAGGCCAGCCTGGTCTATAGAGCAAGTTCCAGAACAGCTATGGCTACACAGAGAGACCATATCTTAAAATCAATAATAAAACAATAAGTAAAATATTATGCAATGCATTATTATTATTATTTTAGGGCTGGGGCCAGCTGTACAAACATGAGGACCTGAATTTGGATCTCTAGAACCCACATAAAAATCCAGGGGTGGTGGCACATGCCTGTAATCCCAGCACAGGGTATGGGAAGTGTGTGAGGGGTGCAGAGATGGGCGGGTCCCTACAGCTCTTTGGTCGGCCAGAATAGTCCACATTTAGTGAGAAGCTCTGTCTTAAAAACAAAGATGGAAGATCAGTGAAATGACTTGGCCAGTAAAAGCCTGAGTTGAGCTTAATACCTGGGACTCACAGTGGAAGGACAGAACCAATTTATGCAGTCACCACCTCTGCCCCAGTGTGTGTGTGTGTGTGTGTGTGTGTGTGTGTGTGTGTGTGTGTGTGTGTGTGTGTGTGCGTGCGTGCGCGCGCGCGGCGCACACCTGTCCTGTGAACTCAACATGTGTGCCATGGCCCACACTCACACATACACATCGTGTATATATATCAGAAAGGGAGGGAGGAAAAGAATTGTAGAATCTGTGGCATATCAAGACGGAGAAGCTGTGGATGAGGATCGTCTTGCAGTGGTTGAGTAGCATCAGGCGTGCCTCAGACTGTGAAGGTCAGCAGAGTTCTTCCCCTGCCCTTTGACCTGCTTGGTGGAGCAGCAGGCATGTGACAGGACTGCAAGGGCAGGCCTGCAGCCCAGGCACTGAGAGGAGTATTAATGTGCCCTTTTAAAGGCCTGCGCTCCAGCTCTGTGAGGAGTATTAATGTGCCCTTTTAAAGGCCTGCGCTCCAGCTCTGTGAGGAGTATTAATGTGCCCTTTTAAAGGCCTGCGCTCCAGCTCTGTGAGGAGTATTAATGTGCCCTTTTAAAGGCCTGCGCTCCAGCTCTGTGAGGAGTATTAATGTGCCCTTTTAAAGGCCTGGGCTCCAGCTCTGTGAGGAGTATTAATGTACCCATTTAAAGGCCTGGGCTCCAGCTCTGTGAGGAGTATTGATGTGCCCTTTTAAAGGCCTGCGCTCCAGCTCTGTGAGGAGTATTGATGTGCCCTTTTAAAGGCCTGCGCTCCAGCTCTGTGAGGAGTATTAATGTGCCCTTTTAAAGGCCTGCGCTCCAGCTCTGTGAGGAGTATTAATGTGCCCTTTTAAAGGCCTGCGCTCCAGCTCTGTGAGGAGTATTAATGTACCCATTTAAAGGCCTGGGCGTAGAGTACATGCCATGCTTGATGCTTCAGCTCCCCCATGTCCTCCTCCACCAGGAAGGGGTATTGCTCCCAGTCCTTGGCCTCCCTGGCATCCTCTTGCAGAGCTGGCTTTCTCGAGGCCTGTGCTCCTGCCCACCCTCAGTGCCCGTGACTCGCAGCTGATTGCGGAGCTGAGGCAGTAAGGAGGGCTGGCAGGAGCAGGTCTATGCTGGGGGGGATCTCACCATAGCAGTCCTGTCACCCCCAGTTGCTCACACCTCCTCCCTGTCTCCTTTTCCTCCCCAGTTGGACCCCCAGCCTTGTTGCCTCTCTACTTCCAGTGGTATATCTTCTATTTTGTTGTTCAGCGGAAGAAATGGGTGGTGAGTATCCCTGGCCTGCAAGTCCCAGGTACCAGGTTCTCCGGTACTCTGCTTGAAGCAGGGTGTGCGCTGTGGGACACAGAGACTGACTCCAAGCCCAACTGAGAGCAGAACAGAACCAGGTGCAGATGTTTATCTCTAGATGAGATTAAATGACTTGGGCTCATGCATGCTTCACAAGGCTAGTCTCCTGCGGTTCTAAGCTACACAGAACTCCAGGAATTGTGCAGAAAGCACAGGGAGAGTCCTGGGGGATGGTCCCTGCTTTGAGAGAATGTAGGATGAAGCCAGAACCAATAGACCCGAGAAGACATGCAGGCAGAAGAGGCTTTGGGGATCCCCAAAGTGGGGATGTCTGGCTGGGTCTGCCTTCCCAGTTGGCCTCAGATATAGGACATGGAGAAGACAGGCTCTGAGCAGATGGACTAGGAACCAAGATATGAGCTTGGATGCTGGACAGGGTGCAGAGGGCTCAGTTGTTGTGGGAATAGCATGGGGCTTGGTTCACTGTAGAAAAGGACCTGGAGCTTCAGCTAGTATAGGAGCATAGAGCCGTGGTCCTGAAACATCCACCTGGCAGCATTTAGATGTTACAACAGGCAGCTAGGAAAAGCCAGGGATTACTGAGTGCCTGACACACACCAGGAGGAGGTGGTGACTGCAGCAGATGGAGATGGGGAGGGAACACAGCCGCAGCTGCTGGCACCGTGTCACGCTCCGTTTCCCCTGCAGGACTTGGCCTGGATGCTCAGCTTCTATGCCCGAGTCTTCTTCACTTACATGCCCCTGCTGGGGCTGAAAGGCTTCCTGGGTCTTTTCTTCATTGTCAGGTAGTGTCTGGTGGGATGTAGCAGTTGGCAGGGAAAATGCAGGTGATGGGGTGGGGCCTTGCTGGGGTCTTGGGAATCGGGGTTGTTTGGGGGATTGTTTCACGTGGGCGGTGCTGCTACTGGGGATAAGAACTCTGTGCTCTGCTTGCACTGTTTGTGATGTATGCCCTATTCAACAGGTTCCTGGAGAGCAATTGGTTTGTCTGGGTGACACAGATGAACCATATCCCCATGCACATTGATCATGACCGGAATGTGGACTGGGTCTCCACCCAGGTAAGGGACAGTCTCTTGGAAGACCTGGGCATGCCACAACTACTGAAAAGGGTGTGTGTGGACAGTAACAGCTAAAAATAGTCTCCTCGAACAGCATTGCCTTGTTAGCGGGAGACTTCTCACTGAAGGGGGGTGATCAGAGGGATAGGGGACAGTTCCAGACAGCCTCCCTAGGGAAGACTGGGCACTGTGACAGAGGCGCCCTCTCCTGACTCTCTCCCCCCAGCTGCAGGCAACATGCAACGTCCACCAGTCAGCCTTCAATGACTGGTTCAGTGGCCACCTCAATTTCCAGATCGAGCACCAGTAAGTAGGGAGACCAGGGGAAGCGGGGGTGGGGTGGTGGGGGTGGTGGGGGTGGGAGGTTGGAGCAGAAGCTACTAACTACCCGCTGTGCCTGAAGCCTCTTCCCCACGATGCCCCGACACAACTACCACAAAGTGGCACCCCTGGTGCAATCCCTGTGTGCCAAGTATGACATCGAGTACAAATCCAAGCCCCTGCTCTCAGCCTTCGCCGACATTGTTCAGTGAGTATGCGCCTGGGGAGGTGGCAGCAGGGAAGAAAGGCAGGGTGATGGGCATGTGGCAAGGAGTGGGGCGGGTCCCGGCATCTGCAGTGGCATGCATCACCATGGCAACAGCAGAGTGGTGACCAGGCCAACTTCCTCTAAGCAGGGGAGGGAGGGGTCTGGGGGTGGGGAAGGGGAAGGGGACAGGTGGATGACTCAGCCCTCTCCTCCCTCGCTGTCTGCTCTTGTCCTCCCTACAGCTCACTGAAGGAGTCAGGGCAGCTCTGGTTGGATGCCTATCTTCACCAATAGCAGCAGCAGCCCTCCATCTGGGAGAGGAAGAGGACAACTGGAGCCAAAGCAGAGGGAGCTTGAGGGATAATGCCACTATGGATCGAATGTTCGAAGGGTTAGGGGACATGGATGCTTGTGCTCACACTTGCCCCCTTTGCCTTCTAGGTACCAAACCTAAGGGAAGAAGAACTGTTGGGGCAGGGATACAAAGCTGTTCTATTGTTTCTTCTGCTTTAACAGAGGCAAATGGGGGCGACCTACAGAGCCCAGTGTGAAGCAGGGGCCCCGCCCTAGAATTACCCTCTTGTAAAGTGTGAACCCATCTCATTGGGCTATGTCTGACCCTACCCTCCCTGTTTGTCTCTGTGGACCTGTGTGACCCCATTGAATGAGACTCAGAAAGGGGGCATTCATGCATAGAATCCTGCAGCCTGGCATAGCTCCATGATCAGGAGCTTAGCTTGCTGCCAAGAGCTGGTTGTAACCATGTCTGCCTCCGGCTGCTGGGAGAAGCAGGCAGGGCAAAGGCCAGGACTATGGTTTGGAAAAAGCATTTGGCCCTGGAGGATCCTGGCATGAGTGACTCTGGCTTCCTGTTCCATCCAGGTTCCAGAGAGAACATGAGATCCTAGCTTTGGGCAAAATGGATGGCGGAGTAACTGGCCTTTAAAATCTGTTCATTCACCTCTTTTAATCAGTCCCCAAGGCTCCCATAGTTTCCTTTTATGTCAGTCTCTAGGTTGAAGAAAACAACCATCAGCACAAGTGGCTGGGGTTTCCATCATAAAAGTGTCAGCACTCTAAGTGATGCGTCCCTGTTCCTTGTGTTCCCTGTGTTCCAGCATTGTATAGCATGGTCTGAGCTCCTCTGCCCATTGCCCAAGTCTTATTCTTCTGGAGGCCAGATAGGAATTCAGGATAGCTTCTGACAAAGCACATCAGTCTAACAATGAAATAGGGTTTTGTAGCAAGTAAGAACAGTTTAACTCACCCTTCCAGAGAACATAGGAACATGTCCAGAGAGGCCTAACCCTGCACATCACATTCACGCTCTGGTTCCCCTAACCTGTGGGTCTACCCAAAGCATACTGGCCATCTGTCTGGGATTAGAGAACCTCAAACAGAAGGCAAAGCGTAACACGTTTGTGGAGAAATGGCAGGTGGTCAAGATGAGGGTGTTTGTGTAAAGGATGTTGGGGTACAGTGTGGTGACAAACAGGGTTCCTTAAGTTTCCCAGGACAATGTCCAGGAAGGGCAGGTTGCAGAAGAGCTCAGGCCTGATTGGCCCTGTTTGAAGCAGGCTGGGTAATCAGAATGGAAGAGTGCTACCTTTATTTGGCTCCTTCCCTCCAGAAGAGGTGCTGTCCCTCCCCATGCCTGCTCCCCGCCACCTGGGGTACGGGTGTGGCACTGCCAGTCTGAGCAAATACCAGTGAGCTCAGTTGAACCAAGACCAGGCTTCAGAGCACCTGAACCACTGTGGCCTCCCTCCTCAGTCCGCTTGGCAGGGATGTCGAGCGACAGGACTGAGAAGTTACAGTGATAAAGTGAGGTAGCTCAACTCCACTGACAAGAAAACAAAGTCAGGCAAAGTCACCTCTGCCCATGTAGACAGAGGCAGAACATTTGAACGGAACCTTGTTAACTCCAGCCTCCATGTTTATCTTTATTACCTTCATCTTTCTACTTCCTGGCCAAGGGTATTCCCTTTAATTGGGCCTAATATCAGCATCTGTGTGTGCCAATGCTGTCACTACATCCTGGTGAGACAAAAAATAAAAAGTAATTTGGACCAAGGAATGTTATTATTCATTTAAAATCCACACTGCTTGTCCGCACTTGTCTACCAGATTCCCTGGTGCAGGGCAGGGGCTGTCTCAGCTGGTAAAGCAGTCCCTGTGCAAGCATGAGGCCCTGAGTTCAGATTCCCATGTAAAAGCCATGCGGCGGTCTATAACCCAGCATTGGGAAGGTGTGTCCCTGAAGCTTGCTGGCCGACATTTAGGCAAACTGATGACTTCCGGTACATAAAAGATCTTGCCTCTAACAGCTCCCTTTGGAACACACATCACTGCAGTTACCTTGTATAACCTGGGCAGGACTGTGACTGGCCGTGCAAGGATGATCTGACAAGGCCAGGTTCCTCCCATGATACCCATCTGTGGAGATGCTGCTCTGCTGAGGTACTCCTGCCAGATCTCATGGATGTCACATTCAGTGTGCCCACCCTCTGGTCCTTCAGCTTTCCATTTTTGTCATTTCCTCCCTTTAAGCCTATTTCTAATTTCAAAGTGGCTATGCCTAGAAGTCCTGTTTGCCTGTCTCCTTGCTAATGCTGCCTCAGACTGCAGAGCAATGCCTCTTAACTCTTCACTGCTTAAATGGCTCCTGAGTGAATCATCAGGGCACTCACAGGTACAAGCACAAACCGGCAAATTTAGAGAAGGCTAAGCAGACCAAACTGAAAAGAAGCCACAACTCCAAATGCTTGTTTGCCGACCAGTGGCTACAAGTCCCCAAAAGCCACTGTGCTGAGGCACTAAATACAGTCTTGGCACTTACTTAGCTCACTGCTACTGCAGATCTAGAATCAAATTATGGAATCAGAAAAAAAGAACTAAAATAAGTACAGCTCCCTTTAATCTGGCAAAGTCATTCCACTCTGCCCTCAGGATACAATTTATAGTGTCTACATTCACCCAAGACTTCACTTAGACAATAATATAAATTCAAGGCTTACCTGGTCTACTAGAGTTGCAGGCCAGCCAAGGCTGCATGGTGAGACCCAGTGTACATGTGTGTACTGTACTGTGGGGGTGGGGCGGGGCTAGGGAGAAGATTGAAAACCACCGTGCAAAGACAGCAGGTAAAAGCTCTGACAACTTGAGTTCAATCTTCATAACACACAGTGGAGAAGATCCCTGAAATCTGTCCTTTTGACACATGGCATCACACACACACCTACTCCCATCATACAGTAAATTTTAAGGACTTGAAAACCAATAGTATTCATCTTCTCAATCTGTCAAGACATTTTTACCAGAAAGTTGTATGCTATCTCAGAATTGTAAGATCACAACTACAGGCTAGCTACCCACGAAGCTGTATCAGTTGTGATAGCTGACTTTGGCTGTCAACTCCACATATGGAATCAACTAAAACCCAAGCAGCCAGGCCCACCGTGGAGGATTTGCGGTAGGAAGACTCCCTAAGCCCGGGCCACACCTTCTAGGGGTAGCCCACAAAAGGATGTGGAGGGAAACTTTGCTTCTTACCTGGGCACCCTCACTCTCCTTGAGGCCCTCCTACTTCTTTGTGAGTCTTCATGCAGACTGAAGACCAGCTGAAACATTCCTTGTGGACTCAACTGCGGAATTCTTGGCCTTTTCACCAGATACCCAGTGCTAGACTAGCTGGACCACAACCTGTAAGCCCCTCTAATGAAGCCCTTTCAAGATACATAACTCATTATTACTCGGTTCCTCTAGAGAATTCTAATGCACCCGTACTCTAAAACTTGCAAACATTTATCCTGAACCTGAAATCTCAATAGGAGCAAGGTTTCTTGTTTTTGTTTTTTTGGGTTTTTTTGGTTTTTCGAGACAGGGTTTCTCTGTGGCTTTGGAGGCTGTCCTGGAACTAGCTCTTGTAGACCAGGCTGGTCTCAAACTCACAAAGATCCGCCTGTCTCTGCCTCCCAAGTGCTGGGATTAAAGGCGTGCGCCACCAACGCCCGGTGGAGCAATGTTTCTAAATGGCATCTGTTCACCAAGCAGCAAAACAAACTGCCCGGATGCTATGTGAAAGTCTAAGTTACAAGACTGTCCAAAGGGACCCCTTTATCTCACAGACTAGGAGGAACAAGTGAAATTCAAACTCCTAAAATACAAAAGGCTAACCATAGCTGCTGTGCCCACATTACATGGTATATGGCGCCACCTTGTGGTCACTCTTAAACAAATCACTTGTTAACCAGGTAATCCCAGCCTGTCATCTAATTTTGGTAGCAAAAGGAGATCATTACATTCTACAGGAACCGGAAGCACTAAGGGTGTTTTCAAATATCCTCAAAGAACACCACACTCTGGCCACTTTTGTAATTTTATTGATTTTTTTCTCTTCATATCTTTTAAAACAGAAATAGCACATGAACAACAGCTTCTTCTCCCAAAACCTCAATTGATTGCCTCAGAAAGGCCATCTTGCGGCTACAGGTCAGTGGTATGCTTGCTTGCTTTGCCCTGGGTTCAATTCCCAGCACTGGAGAGGGGAATGGGACAGAAACAAAACTACAATTCAAAACCTAAAACACTGCTTTTTCACTGCCCTGAAAAGTTACTGTAGATGCACCAGATAGCAAGTTCAGGTTTCTGCCCACAAGACACAGCCAGTCAGCCAGCCTCCTCTGCTTGCCCCTTCTCTTTGCAGCTCTTCCATCAGCAAAGCCTGCGCTGAGGGCTGTCTTTCAGGTTAGAGAAATCAGAAAGAGCAGTCAAGGTCTACAGGCATCTCCCATCCACCAGCTGGCCAGCCAGGAAATTATCTCCCCACACTCCCACCCCAAGCCATCTTTATCTCCTCCTTCCTTTAAAATGTGCTTCTTTCAGTTTCACAGAACAATGGATGCAGTGTCCATTAACCTGCCTGAGAAGTGGTTTGAGTCTGATATCATTCCTGAGCTAAAAATGAGGAAAAGCAAAAGCTGTGGCCTTCCTGCCACAAACCAAATAAGAAAGCAAGGCTCTGAGGGCAGTTCTGGGAAGAAGTGGACTCTTCCAAAAGAGGAGTGTTCTAGCTGAGGGCACAAAGCAGACATCCTAGGTCAGGGGACAATGGAGGGGGAGGACACGTTTATTTCCCCCTTTTGAACTTCCCAGCTCCCCCAGTCTTTGCTTTCTTCTTAGCAGGCCCCTTGGGTTCTGGCTCCTTGCGCTTAGCTGAGGAGAGTGAGCCAGTCACCTTGAAGAAATCATCTAGGCGGCCCTGGGTGCTGCCCTGGCGGCTCTTACTCAGCCGCTTGACCCCACTGCGAATTCGCTCCTCAGAAAACTGCTTTTCACCACACATGAATTTGACCAACTCTTCTTCATTTGGCTCGCTCCACTTCAGCTCCACAGACTCTGGGTCCAGCACCTCAGGCTCCAGGAAGAGCTGCTGAGCTTCCTTGTGGAGCCAGTTTTCTGGAACAGGATACTTGTTGGGATCCAGCCGCCGCACGATCTCCTCAATGCTCTTATGCTTCTGGATGAGGTCCACAGCCCGCTTGGGCCCGATGCCCCGGATACTCTCACAGTAGTCACTACCCAGCAGGATGCACAGATCTACAAACTGCTCCTGGTTCAGACCCAGCTCCTGCAGGACTCGGCTCAGGTGGAACTCTTGGATGGGCAGCTTCTTGGCCTCACTGGCAGTCAGATGTCGCATTAGTACGGGACTGCCGAAAGTGAGGCAGTCCATGTCCTCGGTGGCTGCAGCGTAAACTTTGCCAGCTTTCACCAGGGCCGCGCAGCTGGCCTCTGCCTCGCTGGGTGCATCAAGGTATGGGATGCCCATGAGACTCAGCAGATGTTTGCACTCATCGTTGTGTTGCTTGGTGACCTTCACCAGCCGCTTTGTGAACTTTTCCACCTCCTCCTCCACCCCAGCCTCCTGAGCCTGTTGTAGCTGCCTCTCGGCTTCAGCTCGCCTCTCACTGCGTTTGGCCAGCTCACCTGACTTCAGCTGTGGTGGTTTGCCATCAAAGACATATACAGGCTTGATGCCATTTTCCATCATGCGGATGGTCCGATAGAACATGCCCATCAGGTGGCTGGTGGTCTCCCCCTCCTCATTCTGCAGCACATCCCCACCCTGACGAACAGCAATCAGGAACTGGTAGATACTCATGGAGGCATCAATGGCCACCTTGCGACCGAAGTAGCTCTTGATGTCATTTTCCCGGATGGCACTGGGAGCCACATCGGCAATTAGTTTGGCAAGGCCTTGAATTCCCATGGCAACACGGGAGCGATGGCTAAAGCAAAGAAAGACAAGTAAGAGGTAGATCACGGAGGGCAAAAGAACAGAGGTTGGAACTGGCAGCACTCACAAGTTTAATTTCATGTTTAACCAAATTTAACGTGAAAACAGGACTCCAGGTCCGCAAAGCAGATGATGCAAAGGTAAACAAGATGCATCACTCTCAAGACATCTACAATGCACCAATTAGCGAGCAGGCCTCCTAAGTATCAGGAGCTGATCTGGGTGCTTAGGGGAACAAGACCCTGGATGTTCTTGAATAACTTAAGGGCTCTGAGTAACACAACGGCACAATCTGTCACACAAAGAATGATTTCAACTTTCAACTGCATCAAGGATCATAGAAAATAAGAATGCTTGGCTTAGCCTGAAGGACCCTGAGATCATAAAGGCAGAAATGAGCCCTCAAGAGCATGTAAATACCAGCTACGCAAATATGGCTATGTCTGATTTGTTTCTCTACAGACATCTAACTGATGTAGCACCCCGAAGGACACAGTTCTGACTGAGGATCAGGAGACCATCTCACATACTGCTATCCCTCCCCCCTTCAGCATCTCCCCCAGCACCTGGAGTTTGTTTTTAGTAGGATGCTGGAGGAGTTTTAAGTCCTCCTCTTTGTACTTCCTCCCCACCACTAAGTCTGAAACATGAACTTTATGACCCCACCACTGGTCCTGAATTAAGGGTTGGCAAGCTGACAGCCCAATACTGTAATTCTGTCATTCAAGACTTCCATCAAATTGCTCCTAGGGCAGTGTTTCCAAAATTACACTCA